CTTTAATGGGACTGCAGAGCAGATATTGTACTCCCTGAGAAGGATGTCCATTCGTTCATAGTGTCTCCACATCGTCCTACTGTCCCCGCAGTGCATTCTGTGATACAGTCTAGCACCTGTGCCCTGATGAAATGATCAACTGGAGAAACAGACAACATATTTTTACAAGTCTATTTTTAGAAGGAACTTGAAACATATGAAAGGCAGCCCACCCCAAAAAGACGTGATTGTCTCCCAGACTGGTGCATTTCATGTGCAACTATAGTTTGTGAATGGACTGAAAATGGCATATACACAGCATCTGTTATTAATATTATATATATTTCATAGCTTTAGTTTAAGGGTTGCAGCTAAAAAGGAATCTGGTTTCCAATAATACTTATCATTCAGTAATCCAGTAGTCACACCGATTATCACATTAAAATGATTATTTGGATACAGTGAGCGACTGTGACAGAGACAACATCCGACTTCAACCCAGTTCTCTCATCTTGGCCGCTCTTCATATTTCAGCCTATCCCAGAATTCACATGTGTACCGACGCTGCACACGGCAGCCAATGGCAGGGCAGGGAGGAAATGGTCTTGGAAGGCTGTCAGGCAGGGAGCAGTGAATGACCATATATGGTAAAATCTGCAGTCAGCAGGACAGAGCAGCAGAAGCGGTAAAGGCAGAGCTAACTGAGAAGTATAGAGGTCTTGGAACACAGACTGACCAAAGTAAGGGAAAGGACCATGGATATTATGCACACCCACTGTATTTGTGTGTGCGGGGATAGAGCAGAGCTTAGTTAGAAGCAACACTGGTGTTGTGTGAGACACAACAGAAATAATGTGTCACTGTGCACACACCCAGGGATTACTAACAGCAGAGGTTGAGCACTGGATGAATGGTGTATTGAGGGACTGAATCCAAATCAAACACACACTCATTTGATCATCCTTTCTGTACAGCGTTTGAAGCACTAACGTGAAACATACCTTCTACATTAAGCAATGTACTATGTGGTGTTGTTGCTGTAGTTTAGGTCAACATTAAAAGAAATAGACAAAAGAGAAAACCAAACATGCTAATAATTGACAAACTAACACACAGTCAGCATGGAAAATAAAAGATGTTAATGGCTAAAACTGGATAGACAGCATGGAATCTGCATGCTTTGATAATCAAATAAGAGATTTAAAATCCTAACAACTGTAATGATTTACTGAGACTTCCCATCTCTTATGCTGAGCAGACAGAGAGGAATTATCAGGAATGTTTCCCTGAACACTTGCTAGCTGCTGAATTCACTCCCACAGCTTCCTTCATATGGAAATGAGGGAATAAATTAGCAGGCATCCTGCTAAGAAGTAGAATGGGGGAGATTGAAAGCATGAGGCAAGGGAATGACATGTTGAGCTGGACATCTGATGCCCTCTCTATAAATCCCTGTGTTCTGACAGGAGGAAGCAACAATACTCATGGCTGTGCTGAGTCACAGCGGCTTGCCACACTACCCTCACCCTCCTGAGTCACACAAAGAGGTGGCTCCCTTGGTTGACTACTCAAAATGAGGCTCAGGTCAGGTCACAGATCCACGACATCAACCTCTGACCTCCAAGAGATGCTCTTCCATCCATTTTATAAAGACATAAAGTGATGACAAAGAGGGAGCACAATGCTTTTTATTGAGGGCTCATAATTTTAATCAATCATTCTCCTACCATTATTGCATCACTACAACAAAGACTGTGCACAGTTGCATATGGCTTAACTGTGAAGGGGGAAGGAGCATCATAACACTTCTGCCTCCCCCCAGCCGATGTGTGGTAATGACAAAGGGCTGTGCTGGGAGTAAGCGTAGGACAAAGGCCCTGAGCAGCTGGCTGCCCGCAGAGACTGGGAGCAACACAGCATAGGCAGATGGGTTGGCCAGACAGATGCACTCCCACATTGGGGACGGGGAGGGGGCGTTTAGGGGATATGTGCCCTTAAAAACTAAAATGAAACCCAGGTGGTTCAAATGGCAAGTGTCCTTCAAACAGTCAGAGTTTTAGCCACAAAGTAGTGCAGACAGAAGCTCATTCAGTGAAACAAACACTTTGCACAGTTGGCACAGTAACAAATAGCATACTACGTCACTTACAAATTAGTTTAACCATTTTAAAGAGGCAACATCATGATCTTTTTCAATTCAGTTCATTAGAAATGAGCTCAGGTGCTGAGTGCAACTGTGTTATTACTGATCCACTGCAGTGCAGTCTAGTCATACCGTTTGCAAGAACAGACTCGCCCCACTTTTGAGACCTGCATTGCCAGCTGAGGCTATACTGAGATTTCCAGATGGACCTGCTTTGTCAGAAAAAAAATATCATTTGAGAATACCATGGTGATAAATGCCAAAAATAGTTGTTCAAAGACAAAACATCACTACAATTGACAAGGACTAATTTAAGATCTGTAATAAATGTTGTTCCTATGGCCCAACAACTGACTCTCTCTTCATATGCTAAGCTGTCAAAGTGGTTTAGTGGCATGCCCATTTCAGCTCCAGTGTCTCAATGCATAGCCTGCTGAAATGAGGAAAACACTATATCTTAAGGATTAGTCTGTGTCACGCCTGCCGACTTGTATGTGGGAAGATCTAAAAATCAAGAGAGCCTTTTTTAATCTCTCACTTGAGGAAATTGCCCGAGGTTTGCTCAGCACATAAAGACCTCAGTCTCTCCCAACTTCTTAGTGCAGTAGTGAAAGTAGACGTTGTTCAGTAGACACACCATTTACTGTACTGGGATATGGCATGCAGAGAGCGGCTCATTCAAACCCAGAGGAGGAGGACAGGAGGAGTGTGAAACCAGTTGAGCTCGCAGTACAAGCTCTGTATTGAATGAGGTGCTGAGAGGTGTAAGCTGCATGATGACAGGCCTAAGGATCCGGTCCCCTACGATAGAGCCTTCTCAGATGACACGGCAGTGTACTGTGTTCACTAATTACAGGCCCAGGTTAGAGCTGTCAACAGTATTGCAGTACTTATGTCACTCTGTGTCAGGACCTGCTACTTGGCCATTGGTTGTAGCTGCCAAACAGAAATACCAGCAGCCAGTAGTTCACCACTATCAACCATAATAGCACCCAAGGCCTCTCTGGGGGACAAGCCAGAGACCCTGATTGGATTTAGTCTGACCTGTATTGCACCTTAATTAGCCCAATTATGACAGCAAGGTTAAAAAAAAAAAAAAAGAAAGAAAAAAAAGGGAGGGATGTTTTTATCCAGTTAACTTGTTTAGAACTAAACACTCTTTAAATGCTGTCTTACCCAACCCAAAAGTAATTCTACTTGCAGTGGAGCGATTCCTTATATGGAGGCAAGGATGAGGAGACCGTTCACTCCAGGGCTTTGGAGTACTTTCTGATGTACACATGAGGGTGTGTGAAACAGCCCGCTGGTAAACATTAATCCCAAAGTACACTGACATGAAGAGTCAGCGGTTCTGCTTGTAAGGGGTATTCTTCAATAGAAGTGATTATTTATTGCACAAATATGATCCCTTAAACAGCATGGCTTTCCTTCCCTTCCCTATTCCCTTTGGACAATATCAAGATTTCCTGCCACCACACCATCTAAAAATATCCCAAAGTAATTTGATCCACTAAACATGTGTAACAAAAACATCCCATGCATAATACATTTAAAAAAGGTCAGCATTACACCATTTCAATACACCATTTTTCTCAGAATAGGGAAACATTACCTTCAAACTGGTTCAGAACATTTAAGGTGATCCGTTGGTAAATCACAAAGCAAGATCATTAAGATGAACACTGTTGATTTTTTATGTATGCCTGGTGGCCAATCTCTAGAGAGACTGTATGTGAAGAATGTAAAGTCAAAAATTTGTTATTAAACATATATGTTTATTTTACCCCACAAACCTAAAGTTTTGGCACTAAGAAATCTGTCATTCTTAGGGTCTTACCAGTAGTGGGGTGAAATGTACAGTTTACCCTGTTACTGATCACTAAAATCAAAAAGGGCATGGACGTGTATTGAACAAAGAAGCTGATTTCACCTCAGAGCAAGTCATAAAAAACACCCTAAAACACTGACAACCAATGCGCTGTTAGTGATGCAACATATAGAAGCAGTAAATACAAACACGCTCCATCTAGTCACTCCAGTCTCTATATCTCCATGTAGTTGTTTAAGAGGCCAGCTCTGACTGGTTTTCTCTGTCCAAGCACATAATACAGTGCTTCTCCACTGTGGCAATAATGGGGACATAATAATGAGGCAAACATTCAGATTGCTCTGAATATTAGGTTTCCAACGTTTTTTCTTTCCTGCCTAGCTGACATCAGATCAGCATGGATGTCTTTATATGGTCATCAGCTCATGACCTGCATCAGGCACAGCACGCCCACAAAGTACAGGGACACGCCCATCCACCAGCTCAGTCTGCTCAGGGCCACTCTTCCAAGTTTTCGGAGGTTGCTCAATGTGTCTCACACAAAGTGCTTTTGCAGTTGTGAGAAAAAGTTAGTTTCTTGATGGACAAATGGCTTTAATTATTACTAAAGAACCCGCTAACTACAGCTAGAGGTCCCATTTGCTGGTTGACTCTGGACTGAGAGCTTGTAGCCCAGGCCTGAAAACCTCCTCCTCCTAGCGGTCCAAAGCTCCCAGTCTGAGTCAGCTTAGCTAATAGGGCCGCTAGCCGCGCAGCTAACTGAGCCAACTAGCTAACCACTAACTGCTGCTAACTGTAATGTTAGCAGCAGTTAATGGTTAGCTAGTTAGCTCAGTGGTTACTTTAAAGCCATCTTGATGGTTACTTTAAAGCCATCTGTCCATCTGGAAACTCCATGAAATATGATCCAGTTTCACCAAAATCAGTAAATAAAGTTATTCAAATGTTGTGTTTTTTGTACAGTTATCAGTGAGGACCTGAGCAGATCTGCCAGGCCAAGCATATCTGGAACTTACACTTTTATTACTACATGATACACCATGAACTTACCTTGTTAAGAGGGAGAACGAGGAAAGCTCCACCACCACTGGCCTCAATAATTATGGCAACAAATTTAGGGTTGACAGCACAGAAGGAGCTGTCCCATGTGACCCTTGACACCCGGATATCATCGTAGCATTGGTCATTCTTCACCGCCTGGCCAAAGACGTGACGGAATTTGCTCTGCCGTACAACTCGTCTCATATCTGTTCAAAGAGGAAGATTTAACATATGATAGTTAGCAAATCATTGAAAAGGTTTAACAACACAGTAACAAGAAAAGTATACAGGATATAGAACTAACACATGCAAACTACTTTAACCACTTGAAAGACTTGAGAACACAAGACACCACATCCACAGACTGCAGCAAAGCTGTTAGAATGGACCAAGATCAGATGCAACCTTTTTTTCCACGACACATGACCTTGGCAAATGTGTTTGACTTTGAGTGTGTTTTCTAACAAACCATTACTACTAGGGTCTCCCTGGAATTTGTGGGCATCGTGTTGGTGACAAATTTCAAAGAAGAGTGTTACCAACACATGTTGTAGCTTGCAAATATGAATTTAACATCCACGGAAGAGGGATGATGATGTGGCGTGTGATGGTGCAGCTTCATCATTTCTTTCTTTAAGGAGAGTCTTAGAAGTCTGACACAGACCTTCCTGCAAATGTTTTATTTATAAACACACACACACACACACACACACACACACACAGAAAGAGAGTTCCAACATGGGCTGTGATTAGTCTATCAATAGCATTTGACCGACGAGTTAATGTCCACTCATTTTTCACAATGGGATGTGGATGTTGATATAGGCAGTCTATTGTCCAGTCAGTTAGCTTGCCTGGTGTGTACCTTTGATTGTGCCCCCTTCATTATTTTAACCGACAGTGGATGCCCAAAGTGTTGCTTCTTTTTGGTTAGCAACTGACATCTTCACATTTCCATGTGTCACCATGAGTGTGGCTGGGTACATCTGACATCTTGTCTTCCTCGTAGCAACTTCTTAACTTTAGAATGCTGTTTGACCACAGAAGTGGGAAAGTCTGTGGGAAAATGTGTATTTTTAGTCCCTGGTATTCCAAATTGTTCTTTTCTATGGCCTTCTGTATTAATTCCTCACAACTGTGATAATGATGTAATCTTAGATGAAAGTTGCGATGGGTCTTTTGATTCAGGTCTCTGGTGATTGATTCTGTGTGCCCAATCTATTAGAGGTTTCTCCTCCAGAGACAACACTTCGGCTTCTGTAATGAGATTTTCTATGGTGGCACAAACATCATCCATTACATTATTATGAAGATTGAGCAAGATCAGATGCTCATGGAATTGCTGTGTTTTGATTCTTAAGGAAGTGGGTAGAGTTAAATAATTTGTGTGTGTAAATTTTAAAACAAATTAGTGATGAGTTATCTAAAGGTGCATCTTACTCTTCCATTAGGGCTGGGGCGATTCATCGATGTAATTGATTACGTAAATAAGTCGAAACATCGAAGCGTCGCTGCATCCGGTGTTAGCAGCGATTCCCCTGGACAAGCTCCAGCTACAAGGCCGCGCCTTCGACCGTCTAAAGTTTGGAAGTATTTTAGCCAGACACCCAACTAGGGCTGGACAATATAATTTTTTTCAATAACAATATAATAAATGTTCAGTAAATATTCAATAAATGTGATTTTATTCACTTAAATCATACACAAATTAGGATGAAAAAAGATATTTTGTTGAGGAAAAAAGCTTTTACTTAATTTTACTTGTGCATATCTGTTGACAAAGATCATAATCATCATAATTGTTTTGAATGTTTTACCTCAGATTTGTGAAGTGATCCACTGTGTTGACCATAAAGAAGAGTTTTAACCACATTTAACCATCAGGTTTCTTCTACTCTCACTCAGGAGCAAAAATCAGCCTTTAAACTCAAAAGAAATAACGATTTAATACTTATCGTGATAATTATCGATATTGAAAGATATGAAACTTTATATCATGATAACATTTTTGGCCATATCATCCAGCCCTACACTCAACATGCTGCTCCGTGAGCTCTGCGAATTGGAAATAGCTTCACTGCAGCGCAACTGCTGTATACGAATACGTGAAGGCGCATGAACATGTGAAGCGAAAGTATCCCGGAGCACTTTGTCTAGATGGCAATGGCAGCATCGCAAATACACCAACAACATTTATTATTGTGTATGATGCCATTTCGGGTGAGCACCTCCAACAAGGCATTGATCCCCAAGAGGGGTGTTATAAAATTCACTCACTGCTAACTTTGCAAACTGCAAAAACCATGTAATACTAAAACATAGGTTTAAAATGTACACAAACATACAGCATATGACTAATAAAAACAAACATGCTCGATATTTTCATGACTCAAAAACTTGTTCTCTCCTTTCATCCTCAGTTGTGGCAAATATTAAACATCTGAAATACTAACACGCTTTATATGCGGAACAGTTAGAAGGAGCCACTTCCAATGGAAAATAGGACATACCCAATCCAAACAAAAACAGACTTGTAGCTGGTTCAGCTAAAATCTTCACCAAGACAAGAATCTGCTGGCAGGCAAGAGAGCTTTGGCAAACAATCCAATTCAAAAGCTAGTGCTGTGCTTACAATAACAGACCACTTCCAAAGATAATGGAAAGCCGGCCAGTTTCAGATATGACCAGAAACAAGGTCCAGTCTAACCTACAACCTAAAGACAGACAACTCTGAAGTGGTCTTGGTTTTCTGAAGCTCCTCAAATATTGTTATTTTTTGACATAGCACATGGTAACCGTTTCCAGGCTGAATCACCAACACCATAAAAATCACAACACAGGATGTGGGATATGTTTTGGAGGTGGTTTTCCATGTGTGTGTGTGTGTGTGTGTGTGTGTGTGTGTGTGTGTGTGTGTGTGTGAGAGAGAGAGCGAGCGAGCGAGCGAGCGAGCGAGCGAGCGAGACACTTGTATGGCATGTTTGCGACAGGACAAGGATCCCAACACAAGCAGGAAGTTCTTCCTGTAAGGATGTGGGAGTGACCTAACAGCCCAACTCACTCTAAAACACGTCAGTCATTACAACTGTTTATTTTTCACCGAGTTACATAAGATTGTCTAAATCCTGCCCTATATTTATCTGGCTCAGAAGTGCATTTGTCAAGGAAACTGAATTTGATTACTACGAGAAAGACTGACACAGAAATCCTGGTAAATACACTATAGTAAAGACAAAAACTAAGACAAAACTCATTTTGTCAACAATGTTAATTATTCTCCAATTTCACAGCATGCCATCGGCAGCCAAGAATCGCCCTTTAGTCACTGCTGAGAAAAACTTACATAATCAGTTACAATTACTTCTCAAATATGCCAAGAATGGGAAAAGAAGAGTTGTTCTTCCTTACAGTAATGTGATGGTAGTCTGGGGCAATGCTCAACAAGGACCACTTTGTCATGAGGAGTAAGGCTTGTTTTCTTACATTTGGAGCTGTAGATTTGTCACATAATCTGGGTGGAATAGAAGCTATATGTGCACAGACACCTAAATCAGCTACATGTCTAGTGGCAGTGGTTTAGTTACTGTGTCAAAAAAAAAAAAAAAAATAAACTCCCAAATAACTTGTTGCTACGATGGCAGCACTAACTGCTTTCGTTTTTTTGGAGGTTTCCATGATTTATGATTTTTTTTTTTTTTTTTAAACATACAGGTAATATAGTGAATATTTATATGTACACGATCATTTTTTAACTTTATATTAATTAATGCACACAGAAAGATTCACAAATGTGTTTTGAGATTTATAAATTAATAACTCTCCACATAAATATTTTTCAATGCACAGAAAAATATGCTTTGTTGTATATAAACCAACAAATGAAAAAAATAAAGTTCACAAATGTATAGTATCTGACGCGCACAGAAATATTTCTTGTTTTAAATAAATGTAATCAAAATCCACCAATAAAAGGAGTATTTAAAAGCACTAGCACTTTTCATCAAAACCATATTTGGATGTAGTTGTAGCTGTACCTGCATTTACAAACTGCTCGTCATTTGTGAACTTCACTACATTTGTGTGTGGGTGTTTTGAGACTCCCTCTGCCATGGCTTGTTAGTCAAATGCATTTTTCCCTCCAACAAGGAATTATCTGTAGCCAGTCAGATGGCTCCTTCCGCTTCAGCCAATCACGTAAGCATAGATTCAAGGATTTCATTTACAAATGACAAGCAGTTTTTAAATGCTGGATCAACAGTGGGGTGGGTGGGGGGTATTGGGTAGAGCCGCAACAATTAATCAACTGGTTTTTAACTATTACATTAATCACCAACTATTTTAATAATCGAGAAATCAGTTTGTGTTCCGTCACTCAACAATTCTTAAGAATTACCTAACTTGTTGAGATAGATTAATGATATGGCAATTGGCCAGTATATACAATACATATAGTAACACAAGGCTGACCTCTAGGTATCCATCTGCATTTTGAGTACCTTACAATTCTTCTCCTGACAGTCCGCATCCCTGAACATGTCTAATGACTGCTCTCTCAGGCATGCTGCTCTTTATACTGGGTATTATGTATGGTCTTGTTTGCAACAGGTTAGGGCAACAGTAAATGAAACCTGTAGCAGCAAGAGACATAGTTTTATCAAAAGGTAAAAAAAGTGGGGGGAAATGTAGAACAAAAACTCATGTTATGACACCGGCTATTGCATAGGGAGTTTGGTTGGCTGCAATCTGTCTCCAAATCATGTTTAGTAACACAAATGTGCTGCTTAGCAACATCAGGGAAATACCAACCCAGGAAAGAAAAGTAATAGTAAACAACACAAACTAATGTCTTAAAAGGTTACTTATAAAGTCTAAATGCAAACAACTGTTAAATGTTGGTATATCCCCACATTTGGAATTACTCCTCGCTTTGCAAACCCAGAAAAAATTAATGAGCTCAGGTTTCTCTACAAGATTTTAGTCTGTAAAACATCAATGGACTGTGCTGCGCAGCTGGATGCCAGACCAATCAGCAAACTTCTGGAAGAGGTTTAGATGATGATGAGAACTAGCAGAGTTGTATTTGGAGTTTTTACTGAACACTGAGGTGCTGCCTCTCAACCACTGAACCTTGTGAAGAATTACTTATGTGTATATAAAACGAAGGATGACTGCACCTGAATTCTAAACTGATTTTGGCGGACTATTT